TGAGTATGAAGATTTCTGTCTTCTGGGTTGTTGTACTGTGTAGTCTGGTCGATGTTAACCAACGTTTCAGAGGTCATATTCATCGCCCTGATGACGGAGGCAGCATGACCTCTGAAACGTTGGTTAACATCGACCAGACTACACAGTACAACAACCCAGAAGACAGAAATCTTCATACTCACCGCTGTGAAAACCTCAAATCTTACAAGTTTTATATTCGCTTCAGATTTTGGAATGGGGTCCTGTGGCTTCAGTCGTGATTGGTTTAAACTTTAGTGTGCCTCATAGGCCCACGTATATGCACCGAAGATAAATTTTATTTCACTTCATTGTGCAACAAGTTATATTATCGTCAATCGTTGTGCAAGGTGGGATGAGATCGTTTTGATGTTCTTTGCTTTGTGTTTGTCATGAAAGGCTCTCCGTCTGGGACGTGGGTCTAACATCGAGTTTTCTTCATGGCTCTTTGCTACTATTCAGTACCAATAGTAATGGAGAGACCTCCGTAACACGTGTTGTTTTCTCATGGTGCTTAAAGAACTGCGTGACTGGAGTAAACACAAAATAGAACAACCTTTTCAGATAAGTTCTTTCATCTGTTCATTGAAGATTACAGAAGGAGACTGTAATGTATCGAGCCCATTGTCACTAGTCAGTAGCACTAACAGGTTGTCACAAACAGTGTCCCTATTTACATCTGAATTTAGGTTATGTGTTAAGAAAAGTAGGTCACAGAATTACAATGCTTTGGTTTCGTTTCGTGGGGTAAGTAAAGACATCTAGTATCTCGCTGGCATGTCCATGCGTTGTGCTCTTCCCCCAAGCGCCTACATGGCATGTGGCGGTATAGCTTTATTTTTTTACCCATGAGTTTATAATTTCATGATATTTCTACAAACTTATCCATGTAGTCTGTGTGTTTGTTCGGTAATGTAGATGTCTGTTTAACTATCTGCGTTAAGGTTTTTGCGTGTTCTGTGGAAGATCTATTTAATTTTCTTAATACTGGATCCAGCAAAAAGCCACGAAGATTCATTTCCGATTCTATTCCACTCTCGGCTTGTCATCCCATGCATACGCTGCCACCGGGTATAAACCCATTTGCAGTCAATAATAAATAATAATAATAATACGCCTCAAAATATTACACGCGAAATATATTTTATAATTTGCATATCTACAATTTTGGCATTATTTTACCAGGAACTCTGCGAGGTATTCCACTTATTAGCATATATATTTGACATTTATTTTTCAAATCCCTCTTGCCATCGATGCTTATTAGAGTGTTTAATAATTTACATTCACTGATTGTTCTTATTGTTTGTTATCCAGCGTAGTCTTAACATCTTTCTAGTCGTTTGAGTTTTAATTGCGTAGTTTATTATGCGATCTGTCGTATTTATCTACTAATATGGCAATGTTTCGCCACGGTGGTCTAGCGGTCAGAACACTAGCCTTGTAAGCCTGGGGTCCCGGGTTCAATTCCCGGTGGTGCTCAAATTTATAACTTGTGTTGGGCAAGGCCGTGGTCTAGGCATCACGGAGTTTTCCTCCGGGGGCTTCCCCGGTTTCTCCGTGGCATCCCAACAATTACTCCACTCACACACAGAAGAAGGCAATGGCAAACCACTTCTGGATCATCTGCCAAGAAAAATATGGAAGGATCCTGAATGGCAATGTTACAGACTGATGGAAAACATCCTTCGAAATTCATTGTATTTTTACCTTAATCTCCTTTATAAGTGCTGAAATCTGTCTAATGGTAGCAGTACTTATAAAATTCGACATTCTGCAGTCTTTAATCATTACTGAGAACTTGATCAGAAATACATGTAGTCACAAAACTCGGTTATAAGCTCAGTCAGTTTTACGACGTGGTGTTTTATCCATGTAATATGTCGGTGGTGCTACTCACGGATTCCGTTGCTGGGTGTCACAGACTCCGGGTGATTGTTCTTGGGTTGCATTTGTCTTGAATTGTTGGATTTGGATGAATGGAACGACTGCTGTGACGGCGGTCTCCTGTTATTGGAACTGCTTGTCTGTGAGGAAGAGAAAAAGACATTGAAATTTGTACTGTATTCCCACACAAGCCATTTTATTTTTATAGAGTACGACAGTGTCTTCTTTGCGTGTGGTTTGCGGAAGGATTTCAAAGGATATGCAGCAGAAAATAAATTATTAAAAATTGCTCCAGAATCCTGTTTGCTTTCACGTGAATTCTAGTATAAAGAAGATTTGACAAAATTTCGTTAATTCTGATAAAGCTCGTAAGAGTCTGCAGCTTTTCTCGTAGCATTTTTTTAAGTTCGTTCCTAAAGCTTTGTCATAATGCAGTTAGACCGTTTGTGAGTGGACTGGTTCTGATAAAACTGGGAGGAGAGGTTACGCTTTTAAGACCGATTTCCCAAAAGGGGTGTGTAAAATTTTAAAATTTGGAAATAATTGTAGCAGAATATAACTAAATTCGATTAATTTGAATACCTTTCTGAAAAATATGAGTATGCTCAGAGGTTTGCTGTCTAAAGTGGATTTCGTGTGGAAATAAACTGAGGTAGTAGAAGTTCCTGTACTGGAAGTTGTCAATGGTCTTTATAATGCAACTATATAAACATAAAGTTTTGATAGAGTCTCGTGGCGTTTGCTTTACAGGGCCTCTGTCTTCGTCGAGGGGCTTTCCGAACTAATCACAACTCTGCAGAGTCTAGTAGAAAATAATAGTCACTCAACCAATTGAAAAATTTCTGTACCTTTTACACAAGCTGAAGTTCCACTGCAGTTTGCAAGAGCGCCTGTCCTCTTCCAAGTGAACCCAGACAACTCCTACCCACACAACAGCGTTTCTTAAGATCCATTTTTATGTTAACCTGCTATATAAACCTTGGTCTTCCACTTTGGGTTCTGCAATTAAATATTTCCAGTTTTCATCTTTTATTATTCGTGCTCAGCCTGTCTCTCCCCATTTAATCTGATCGTCTTAATAATATCTGAAGAAGAAAACTTCTTTGTTTGATTTTTGTCAGCGTCAGCTGTTCGCTGCTATTTAAAGCTTCTTATTAATGGAATTACGTATAAGGGATTCACTAAAACGGAACCTGGAAATCATGTTGGTTCCGTCTCAGATCTAAGCAGTATCGAAGCTTTTAGTGAATGTGGAAAACGGTGGTAATGACTATAAATCCTACATGAGCGCAATGCAAAAGCGATAGAGAGCAAGAATGTAGGAAATAAATATGGAACAGCTCTGTTTCCACGCAACTTCTCGTGTTGTTTCTTTCTGTCTTCATCGAAGATCATCAATTAATTCTGTGCCTGAATCGAGGACGCTAAAACACAAAATTTATTCCTGCAGTGAAATAGTAACTGTTGGAAAATAAAAGATGTTTTTTTAAGAATAAAGGCATGACAGAGATGGGAAACGCATACTAATTTTTAATCAACAAACTTGAAGGGAAGACACGGCTGGGGGGAGGAGAGGTTAGGTGTAGTTGGGATATTAATATGGATCTTGCTGAAGCCGACTGTGAGGACGCTGAATGGATTTTTCTGGCTCTGGATAATGTCCAATGGTGGTATTTTTTGAATACGGTACTCAATCTGATTAGCTGACCGACAATTACCTTCTCAAAAAGGATTGTCCTGGATAGAGTAAGCCCTTTGAAGCCGAACCTCGTCTATATATTATGTAAACATGCAGTTCCCACCTCAAAGAAAACACGTCTCTTCTAGCCTGCAAAGATTAGTCGGTTAATGCTGTTTAAGGAAAATAATCGCTGATGGTTGTAGCTCCGTGTAGTCTGGCAGACATTTATCAAAGTTTCAGACGTTCCTGCTGCCTACGTCATCATCCTCTTGCTGCAACTCAGACGACAGCCATCTTCATAATCACAGCCGTGATAACGTCAAATCCTACGAGATAAGCGCTGTTTATCGTGAGAGTCACACGAAACCCAGTACTTTGGGCAAAATACTGAGTTTCTAAATGTTAAAGTGGGCATGGTGCATAGAGTTATCGCTGGATTTTAAAGGATTAGAGTTGCTCTAGATTAGCTGTTTATCTTATCTTTATTCTTCAGTTAATAGCATACGCACTCCTCTTCAGTCTTCATATGCTCGTTCCATCTATTTCGAGGTCTATCTTGGTCTGGTCGTCCTTTCGATTTATACAGCTGTCCATATCAAATTTTCATAAGATATGTTTGCTGCTGTTGTTACACACAGACAAGCAAGACTAAGCTAGTAGGCGCGTCGTTGTTGTAACTTCTCTTTGTATCTTTGAATGCATCTTTTATCAGAGTGGTATTTCAGTTCTTCACGGCGATGAAGATGCCTTTATTGTTTTATCCTTGCGAACTTGTAGGTAGATACCAAAGTTTTAGATAAACACAGTAGTTTGTCTGTCTGTCTTCACTGCGTCGCAACCCAGCAGAACAATATCGTCGGTCATTTGTTACGTTCGATCTACACAGGAGGACAGTCGATTAAAGCACTGGAAACTTCGGAAGTAATGGCTCGACCGCACGCTTACATCGCATTTTGGGTCGTTAATTTCTCTTAATGTGTTGTGGCGGCGAGACTTTGCTGAACATTCAGTTACTGTGCCAAGTGATGCTACTCCTTTTCCGACTGATAAATTCCACACTTACAAACATAATAGTCAGATAAAAAAGAGGAAATGTTTTAGGAATTGTCTTAGATTCTGAATCCTAACTGAATCTTTTCTTATCTTTTCAACTATTCCTTCATGTAGATCTTCCTCTCTGATAAAAAGTTATTGATCGTTTTGTAGTATGAAACGAAACACTGTGTTCTTTTCCATAAGTATCTCCATAGAGCGGAATTCTTTACTAGAAGGTGAACGTCCCGTAGATAATCAAAAAGTACTCCCCTCTCACTAAACCCCAAGGCTCGACACCGTATTTACAGGAGAACGCCACTGGTCGTTATCTCGATTAATACAGTCCGCGCACTTACACACTTTTCCCTTAAGATTAATTTTATTATCATCTACCCTTCTGTGCCTAGGTCTTCCTGCCAATCGCACCCCTTTTTATTTGATTGTCTTATTTTTTTTTGATGAAGAGTAGACCTACAAATTATGAAGTTTCTCAATACGAATTTTTCTTTGTTTATCTGTCACCTCAATACTCTGCTCTCAGATACCATCAATCTTTGTACTCCCCTTAATATGAGAGACCAAGTCTCACATTCAAACAAATCAGCAGGTAGAATTATAGCCTGAACATAGCAGACTGTAAGACAGACGATCTTGAACTGCACAGTAGCAAGCATTCCCCGATTCGAATGTTGTCTTAATTTCTCGATTGAAGTTATTTTTTGCGAATGTTATAAAAAATTAGGATTTGAGGTTCTCGCGGCTGTCTTCTGGACTCTAGCGCCGTGTACTCTGGTGGATGTTTGCCAATATTTCAGACGTTCTTGCTGCCTCCATCATCAGGGCGATGAGTTTCTAATTCCAGTACTTGTTCTTAAGTTCTTTTGAATCTCTCTGTATAAAGAGTATATTTATATAGGTTTATGTCTATCACCGCCAGTGTTTCAAGGGACCCTTCATTAGATGTTTTCAGTATTAATCGGAAAACAATTTGATACAGACTTTAAGGTGCAGGCAGACACAGTATTCCCACACAAGAACGTGACTGTCGCCGTTATCAAGTTGAGAGTTTTCGGGTATCGTAGTCGTGAGGAGCGTTAGTGTTCACAACAACGATATTCTGACTCGTGTCTTTTTTCTTTTCGCTTGTTATTTCATCCGTATGTGCTTTGTATTTACTTTGATCGTTCAAATTCAGCACAAATCAGCTTTCTTTACATAGTCTTCTTTGTATCTGTTTTTGTTTTTTATTTCCTTCCTTTGTCTTTCATCCACGTTTGCCTTTTTTTCTTTAGTTTAGCCCATTGTCTGATTGTCCTTTCTTTGCGGATAAATTTGCTTAAGGGATTATGTTTTCTGTTTGAAATATGTACGCAAGAGATGTAATGTTTGCCATAAAATAAAGAATTACTGCATCCTGCATACTAGAGGTAACAAGGAAAACTCGTGGAATTAAATATTTCTGGGTTGCACTATTGTAACGTATCTAACAGAAGCTTTACCGTCGTGTTTCATATACCAAGGAAAGATTATAAGTTATTCAGTATCAGAAATTTTTGGATTAAGTCAAATCAAAGACTGCGAAGGGACTGCTTTAAACCATCGGCTTTTTGGGGATAACAGAACGGCAAACTGAAATTTCCTTACTACAAGAACAAAATATTTTCCTCTAAAATTGGGACTCTGTGAAAAAAATGGGGAATACGTTACTTGAGATACCACAAGAGATTAGTTAGTTAGTTAAGTGTTCATTGTGGAGAATGTAATCGAAACCACGAATCTGGGTTAAAATTACTGACAAACTAACTCTGTGATGACAGGAGAAAAATTCTGTTCATAAAACCTCAGTCACTCAAAGAGAATCTGGAAAACATTTCACAATAGCAAGTTCTGTAAAAAGGATAGAGAGGCATCACTCAGAATGTCCAGAGTTCTCACCTAGGGCGTACAGACAGCCGTGGAACTCGACGCAAGAAAGAAACTTTCTCTAACGTTGCGTTACTCTACCGGACGTAACTTGTGTAGCGAGAAGAGCCCGTGCAACTTCGGAGTGCTGAGTGGGATTTTGAAAATAGCCAGCTGGTACATGTAAACAGTTCATTCATTACAGCGCCCGTATTATCCAAAAATATCTTCAAATACGTGACGATTATCAGGTACTCGTAGCAAAAGTAGGAAGAAATGAAGACATGTAGACATCCCACAAACACGGCATTTGCAGATGAAGGTAATCGGAGTATGCAGTTAGACGGTTTTTTAATTACAGGTTCCCGTCGTTAAATAGTTTGGCTGAAAGTTTGTTTTTGTGTTTATGTGATAAAGTTATTTTTTGGGTCCGGTCATACTCTTTCTTCCGGTCATAAAAAACCCTGTGTTTTCTTTGTTTCTGATGTGAAGGTTGGCTCTCTTATGTTCTTGTTCCAAGACATTTCTCTGTGTGGAGAGTAAAGAGCAGGATAGTTTAGTGCAGGGACAGAGCTTTCATGTTAGCTGTGTTAGCTTGGCTAACACCTTAAAAAAAATTAAAGTCTTGCTTTCTGATGGCTAATAGCGCCAGAGTAAGATCCATTTTATCTATTCGGTTGTGCTGTTTTCCAATGACCAAATTGATCTTTATATTCTTCGTTTTTCAAATTGTAAGCCGGACTAACACGGTTAACATGAACGTTCCACCCTGGTTTAATGTGCCTACATTTTCAAAGGAAAGTTTTAGACATATCTATTTAGCATTGTTCGAAAACAATCCACCCACAATTTTGTATAATAAAACAGACCGAAGAATCAATTACATCAATGTTAGCACAGCCCAAAGGATGTAAATTGTTTTGGTTGGATCTGCAGATGTTAGAAACGCATTGCTTTGTTTCTTAAATTGCGACGAAAGTATAATTTTAGAAATTTAAAACTAGCTGCACGATTGCATAGTTCTCGAGCTTATATTGTATAATTATAACATTAAAACACAAGACTAATATAATAATACGTATATTAAATTTGAATGAGTTGAAACAAATAAACGAGTTAAATTATATCGATGAAACCACAGATTAATCTTGATTAAAATCTATGAAATAGGAAAGGTGGGATTCGTGAGTTCTTTCCGGAACGCGTTGTTGAACATTCTATGAAGTTCGTGGCATAGAACGAGGCCAGTCTAAGTCGCAGTCTGACCTTGGCCGAATAACAGCGCAGTTCTCCACGAAGAAAGTGTCGGGAAATATAATACTGTACTACTGAACGCTTCAGAACTTTGAGTGAAGATATTTTCAGTGTTCCTTGACGACCTACTGAATATGTGTGTCTTGTAACATGCTCGACACATTGAAAGACCTACATACTTTACAGCCGACATCAAAGTAAGGTACGCACTTGGTGTTCCTTTTCCTTGCAATGACGTGAAACCGTCTGCATGCAGTTTAATTTGTCAGAGAATAAAATCCTGAAACCTTTGAACAGCCATATTTGCAGCCATTTTGTGAGCAAACAAAGTCTGTGTTGCATAGTTGTTGAGGGTTTAATTCAGCCATTTTGTGAACAAACAAAGTGTGTGTTGCATAGTTGTTGAGGGTTTAATGCGGTATAAGAGCATAACAAACTCGGAAAACACGCATTAACCTCAAAATTTTTGACGTATAAAATGTTTGGCCTCAGAATCATTTATCTTTGTAAAATGAGAAACAGCGTATATGGATATTTATACTTATAATGTCACAGTGGCACCGAGGTTGAAAGCTCGTACCATGTTGTGTTGTCCAAGAGGCCATGCGATAACCTTAAAAAAAAGAACTGAAAGTTTTTTTTTTTTCTTCAGAATTCCTAATCATGACAGGCGAGAGCACATAATTATTTACAAATGAAGACTGCGAATTTAATAAACTCTTTGGTCTCACTGCCCCTGTTGTGAGCTGCATGAATCCACTACACATCCTCAACATACTATTATTTTAGAACCCACTTCATTTTATTATTCTCTCATCTACACGTAGGTCTCCAGAGCCGGGATAGCTCAGTCAGTATAGTGACTAGCTACGGGCTGGACGACCGGGGTTCGATCCCCGATGGGGGCAGGGTTTTTTACCTCCTCTCACCCCAAACGCCTACATGGCGTATAGTGGGACAAACTTTACTTTACTTTACACGTAGGTCTCCAAAGTGACCCCTTACCTTCTTGTTTCCGACCAAATTTGATGCGAACTTCTTATATTGTTGTATACTAGGGCAGAACGCTCCTTTCGGAGCTCCTCGGAGGGGTTGGCCAAGTTTTTAAAAAGCAACGAACCCCTTCGGGGGGGTTGGTTGCGTTTTAAAATCTTGTGTAAGAAACTAAACTAAACCCCCCGAATGGAGGGTTAAAACACTTGACCAACCCCCTTTCGGGGGAGCTTGATCAAGTGTTTAAAAAGCAACCAACCCCCTTTCGGGGGGGTTGGTTGCGTTTTAAAATCTTGAGTAAGACACTAAACTCGGCATTGTTGTGTTGTATTCGGCATTGTTGTGTTGTACTCGGCATTGTCGTGTTCCACAACAATGCCGAGTTTGTTTATACTCGGCATTGTTTATGGCGTAATTTATTGACGACAACGAGGAATGTTGTATATACATTACACATCTGTTTCCTAGGACTTGATATTCTCCCCAGCTTCCTGTCATACGACGCCCTGAGTTTATAATTTTCTCTTGCAGTGAGAGGCCAAAGAAAGTTATAACATCTTGTATTATAATCTTTAAATTTTTGGATAGAATGCGGAAGTTTCTAAAGAGAATTATACGAAGCATTATAGGAAACCATGGAGACAGTGAGTAGGTGTCGGTGAGTAGTGACGAAAAACACGTAACCCAGTTTCCCTTAAAAAAATGTATCAATGTTTGTGTAAGAAGCTGGAAACGGAATCTAAACGTGTTGCATATCTGAAGTGGTAAGTGAAAGTGACAGTATTTACATTTGTAGAACGTCCTTTAGGATTGAAATATACTATGCCCTTTTCAACACGTATTGAGGCCGTGTTGCATGATGGACTTTTACACTTGTTTTCATTTGATACAGTTTATATTATAACTCTCTTTCATCTACGGAGGTCATACAGAATTCCCCAAAGAGAGATATACATATCAGAAACGTCGGTAGTCATTTCTTACACGTACAATAGATTCGCTAATTCATTAAGTGCCGGTGGTGAAGTATGTATTGATTTAATTTATTAAGATGTTTTTATTTAATTAATTTAATGTCTGTGTATATATTTTTGTATCATTCTGTACAAAATGAGATGGGACCTTGAAGGATATAAATATTTTATTAATACTGCACCGACCTACTTGGTGGCGGTTGTATTTTACGTTGGCTGGAGATAAGAATTGTTACAGATGGAATTATTTGTCTAGTTGTTTATATTGTTGTAAGGCGTTGGTTCGCTGGTATTTATGATAGTTGTACGTGGTATGTTTGTAAATTATGTTAATACGATATCACTTTTCTGGTATAGTGAATTTTATGTTGAAATTGAACCTCAATTGCGGGTTTATTAAATCATATTGTAGCAGTATATTTTCGATATATGTTTCCTCTGATTCACTTCAGAGAATGTATTTCGTTATTTGCTAATTTGGCTTGTGGCATTCATTGATCAGTTATTGCTGTCTAAATGGGATGCTAAATTTGTTTCCTCGTGTTTTAGTTTTCATTGTGAGTTGTTATTAAATTGTAGATTTCCATGGAAACAAATAATTAAATAATCAAATACGAGTTTATTCCGTAACGCATTCTTCCGTTCTGCGTTTAAATTTGATAACATGTAGAGTCACTTAAATTTTTGTTATTCTAGAAGATTTCAAACTCCTGTGTGAGCGATCGTGAACTGTGTGTTTAGGCTTGTTGTCATTTATTCTGCATGACATTAAAACGAGCGATCGTGAACTGTGTGTTTAGGCATATTGTCATTTATTCTGCATGACATTAAAATAAAAACTGTATATATGTATGTTTATTCTTTACATCGTATTAAATGTTATTCATCATTATGAGAGAAGAATGGATGTTGATAAAACAACGTGATGACACGTGGAGAAAATAAGTGACAACTGATAGGAAGTTCATAAATATTACTCTTCTCCAAGTGTTGCCAAGTTGCAGAAGGTTGAGATGGGTCGACCTTGTAGCACGGAAGCAAGGTCAAAGGATATATTTATAGGTATGTTTTTCTTTGTATTCTTCCTGCCTCTCGAGTACTTTCTGCGGAAACCAGAAGTGGGGGCACATTTAAACTAGGGACGCTGACACACACTTCATCATGGGAAGAAACAAAAATCACCATATAAACACTCTTGTTCACATGATAATTGCTTTGGGCGTGAAATTCACGAATTTTAATCGCCATGTTTTAAAATAACCTAGAAATCGAGTCGATGTCACCCGGATTGCTAGGCCGCATCTGATGCCAGTTGCGCAAATCTTTGCATGTGCGGACGTGGTGTGTTTCCTAGCAGAAGGCGTGTTAATTCGCGGACATTAAATCGCATCGAAATAGTTTTCTGCTGTTCGTCAAGAATTTAAAATTCCTGACAGGGAAATACGGAGTTCGAAAATATTACAGCGACTGTTAACAACATTTCGGGGGACAGAGGAAGTGTTTAGTGTTTGTGTGACTTCGAAAAGGTGGCGGACATCTGCTGTAAATCTCTTCTTCGTAGTAAATTAAAACCAAAATACAATTTGTCTTGTTGTATTGCTCTCAATAAAGTTTACAAATGCTGTTTCATTTAGGGCCGCGCTGTAAATCTGCCAATAAAACGTAACGGTGAGAACTTTGTGGTTATGTCTGGACAATTTAATCTAGATGGAATGTGAACTGGTGGAAACTATGCCCATAAATGAACTAGTAAGTTGTGTAATTATTAATCTGTAGTTCCGGCTAAATGCCGCGTGCAGAAACATTTGAACGAAAACTAGGTATCACAGCTTCCTCGCAGGCCTTACTGTTTGTCCTGTTGGTGTACGGTCTCGCCGCCTTAAAAGTTCTAACGTTTTAGTGTTTGGTGTAACAAAATAGAATCCTTAAGCCACCCATGACATTAAACAAAGCGGATCGAAGACACGAGATTGAGATGCTATTCAGAGGTGCTTAGAGGGGTAATTAAGCGCTGAGCTTATAAAAGCTGCACTAAACTGTCAACACTGGAAAAGATACAGCGTGGTAAGCTTTATGATTTGATGTAAACATAGAAGACGTAACGTTGCGTAACAGAAAAACGTGAACGACTGCCAGGTTCAAAATATCAGCGAAAATGAAGGAACATTTTAGATTTCTTAAATAACTTGTAGTTGCGATAGCATAATGTACACACTCGTAGAAATAACTAAGGAAATATTCGACTCCGGTTCAACCTTTTGGAACTTTGTAATGTACCCGCCAGTTTAAAACTTGTATTTGCACTTTATAAAGTTTTTATAAAAGTATGGATTCTCTTTGCAGGTAGATAGTAAAGCTCTCTGAAGGTGTCTGCTTAAACAAACAAGAGGGGGAAAAAACACGTTTATTGTTCAGTGTTTTAAATGACCCTTTTGTGTTGGACGCTAAATAATTAATTTCACACACACAAAGTGATTTTTTTAAATCCATATTAACTGGATCAAAGGCAAATTAATATTAACAGCTTTCGGCTTTAATTTGTTGGCGCTTTGTTTCAAAATTATGAAATGCGTTTTGTGAAGTTTTAGGAGCAAATTCACTCGTAATAAATGTTTGTAGAACTAAAATATTTTAGTAGAGCATTCCTATTTGTGTGTTCCTAAAAAAATGCGTTTGTAGGACTGGAATGTATAGTAACACTGAGACAGGCTTACTGTATTTTCTGACCTTTTCCTCATTTAGTTTTTAATTTCATAAAGCATTACAGATTGAAACGCGTACGGCGTCTATAATTTCAATGTTTGTCTTGTGCGAATTTTGTACTGTATGTGCCCTTCTGGGTGAGAATATATTAATAGACCAGCAAAGTAAAGATTTTTCTACGCCTAAGCATCACGCAGTGCTTCTAGATTTAGGTGGCCTGGCTTCGTAGCAATTAAAAGCTCAGATCGTAACTAGCATCATGCTATAAAGACGTATAATGTGTGTGATCTCCGTATCTCTGCACAGAAAGGATGTGTGTGGTGACATCTGTCCTACGCTAAAGCATTTTTCAATTTTGCATAGTTTGCTTATGCTGTTATAAGGGTGGTGACGAATCAATAACAAAAATGTCCAAGAAATTAGGAAGGGTTGGAAAAGGATACTGGGTAAGGACATGTCATAAATTGGTGTAGAAATAAATGTTCAAAAGTTAATTGTATGAGTATGACAGGAAACCAGGATAATTTTAAAACAATTAATAACCCTGTGAAGAATAATAAATGCAGATGTTCATGATGAACGTACAAGGATACTAAATTCAGGAAATGTTTCTGTATTTAGTTAAGAAACACTATTATCCCGCGTATTTTATAAAATATGGATGATAAACGGTTTTCCAGATGCTCTGCATATTAGTGGAAACGCTTGAAAATTTATATTTAACTTAGTAAACATTTTTTTATTATATTATTTGAATCTTCCATATAAATTTTCTTCTGTCTAGGCTAGAGTTATTTTATGGGCCAAACCCTATTTAAATAAATTCTTATACTTCATTATTATTAACAGCTGTGTTGAAATGACGGTGAATAAACTTTAACACGCTGTGTGCGACAAGATCCATAATGGTTAAGGAGCTCAATGTACGCAGGTTACGTTTTATTTGTATAATTCCTCATCCTATGGCTCGAGAGGATTTTCCTCGTTGTAACATTATTATTACAAACGCTTTAATCTCATTTCGTTCTACAAAAGATTGCATGGTAGCAAATGTATCCGAACGTGTTTTGTCTCCATTACTTACAAACTCCAATCTTACTGCGTCGTTCAGGCGAGTGGTTGGTCCAGATCGTTAGTTTGTCGTGTCTCGCCTCGGGCTTTTCGTCAGGGGAATTCACCAAAGTTTATATATGACTACCACCTATTTTCGTTCCCCAGGCGGCGTGCGTGTTGAAGCTCTTTTTTTTTTGCTATTCATAAATTTATGGAGTGCTTCTTTCTACCACAAATCTTTTCCTATGGTATAAGGACCACTCTTTCGCTACGAGTCCTTGAAGTTTCTACAAATGTTAATTATGAAGACTGTTAAATATCTTAGGGTTCTTTTA